GTGGTCCATACAACAGTGCATGGGCTTGGAGTGACTACGCAGAGGGCACTGGCGAATTAAGAGGGCGAGCGAGGAACTGAGCTGCTTGGGCATCTCATAAGTTACCCCTTCTAATCCCGCCAGCTCTGAGGTACTTGGCACGAGCACCAGCTGGCTGTTCCAGCCTGAAACAAAACAATAAATCACGGTGTATAGCACGCAAATGCAATGAAAAGTTCACTAAATCTGTGGGAAGCGATGAGTAAATACCACCTATGCATACACAATTACCCACAAAGTGTTTTTTTGGTAAAAATATATTTTTTTTTCCCCAATGTAGTATAAATGAAAACCATAAAGCACTGCGTTGGTAGTGTTGTGTAAACACACAGTGCAAAACATAACACCTCACGTTGGGGTGGAGTGGTGACTGAGTGGATTCATGAACCGTGCCATGAACCCAGCTTTACTGAGCTGGATTCCCATCCATGACTAGCATCAGTGGTGAGTGAATCGTGAACTAGTCCTTCCCCCCCCCCGCCCCCCCTTCATCAACCTGCACCAACCATCGCGGTGGCGTGATGTTAACTACCTCGCCAGGCATATAGGAGGTCGTGCGTTCGATCCCGACCGTGACGCCTGCTGTATGTTTGGAGTTTGCGTGTTCTCCCCGTGGTCATGCAGATTTCTCTCAGGGTCCTCCAGTTTTATCCCTCCACAGTTAGAAACGCGCGTTTCGAGTATTTGGCTGCTGTACATTTCCACATGAGAAGCCACTTCGTTGAGCTATCTTTTGTTGCCAGGTTGCTTCTGAAATTGAGCTGTATAGAACAGTGGGCCTTACCTGGTCAAATAAAAAAAGATAGTTTATAGTTCATAGCATAGAGAGGCCTTTATCCAGAAATTGATTGGCAAAAGGCTATTAAATATTGTTACTATTATAACGGAACATTCTGCACGGTAGTTGGCTAAAGTGTTGGACAATGTCCCTTGTTCATTGCAGTGTGCAAAAGAGGTGCCATTGTGTGTAGAATAAATAATGAATTTGGAGAGGCAAACCACAGTGAAACAATACACATGAACAAACTGTTCAAACTCTTTGGTTCTTTCGGTAAAGTCACGTAGGTAGAAAATAGAATAAATTAAATCACGACGTTTCGATTGCAACACAAGCAATCATCATCAGGTGGGAAAACCACAGCAATCGAAACGTCGTTATTTAATTTATTTTATTTTCTACCTACGTGACTTTACCGAAAGAACCAAAGAGTATGGATCCCTGCAGTCATGAAAACTTCAAATCTAAACTGTTCAAAGTGTAAAGGAATGCATTTAAAAATGCCATTCTATTCAACATGAAAAAATAGTGATCTATTAAAGGTCTGACTTAGATCATTACAGCTTTCTGAATTTTTGTCGCCCAATGCTGTCTATTTGCACAGGACACAAAAAATACCTCACAATCAGCAAAACCGGAAAAGTGTTCCCCTTTGCCTATTATGGAGAACCACCTTTGTCAACCAATCAATACTCATTCAGTCCCCATAATGAAAGCCATGAAGCAGAGCCCATGCAATGCTTGCTTAACAATGTGTTTTTTGTTTAAATGATTGTATAATGGCAACGGGGTACTCATGATATTCACCAATGCAGAATCTCGAACCACACACATGATCAGCACCAGACAAATTTCTAGTCCGTGAACAACAAAAATAAGTCTATTTTATTTCACGGAAAAAGGGGCATTACCAGCATCTGGTTCCAGTACAAGTCAAGCTAGAACGTCAGTGAGACTGATCCAGCTGTGATATATTTATCCCAAGTAACTTGGCAATTTAGCCTCGTAATGTGCAAATTGTAAGGAGCTTCTTTCTCACCTATGCTGCATTCTGCTTCTAAAACACATTGCTGGTAAACTGTTTGGCTAACAAACAGAAAAAGTGAAGGATCAATATTTGAGTTCATATGACTCAAGAAGTCTATATTTATATATTACATTTACAACGCTCTGTCAATCCACATACGTGCACACGTAGGGTCTTCTCCCTAAGCCATACTGGGGTTGTTTGACCATACTTAATCACGAGGGATGATGAATTGAGGACCCAGGACATGCCCAGATGTCACTCACCATTGATGTGACTCATGGTGGGAAATCAACTCAGATCCGTGGGTTCAGAGTGCAGTGCACTGACCACTGCACCACAGCTCCACCCCAGATACTAGTTATGATAAAAATATAAGTTATGCACCGTGAGCTTTGCTTTTGACTCTGCGGGTAAAAGTCTCATCGTCACTGGGGCATTTGGTTCAGTTTTAAAGTTCAACAAAAAGGATTAAATAATTCGGAAACCCATGCTTCACATCACCACTTATGATCTACCAATAGACGCACACTCCAGCCCCCTTAGCACCATTACCCCTTTGCATACAAGGGGCGGCCCTCATCCCCAATGCGCTACACCACGCAGTAGTACATCTTGATGCAAACGCTAACATACGGTCAATGAAGCCGTGGGTCATGAAGCTGGTGGCATCACATTTTCTTACCCTCACCATATGATTCAATTGCCTAAAGGATTTTTCCAGTAATCTGCTAATGCTGGGGATGACAATGGGAGCATTTAATTTCAATGATCAAGCAGGTGTCATAGAAACTCAGGAAAAAACGACGTGACAAATTGCTCCATTTGTTCATTCCACAGGCCACCACACTTAACGAGGAAACATTCTTCGAAGATTAAACACAATTGACTTAAAGCTTTCGTGACTGCAGGAATTAATATTCTTTGGGTCTTTCGGTAAAGTCACGTAGAACAAAATTTTTTACCAAAAACCATGACGTTTTGATCGCAACACAAGCAATCGTCATCAGGAGGAAAAAAAGGAGGGGGAAGGCTGCTGAGGCAGACTGTTTTCAAGGTTTTGAATGGGTGTAGCCCAAGGGTCATAAACGAAGTGGGCGGGGCTAGTGATGTTAATGTCAGAAATTTGCATGTCAATGTAGGATCGGAGGGCGACTTCCACGTCGAGGGCGCGAAGGTGCCTATGTATTGTGAGAGATTAGCATGTTAATGTAGGCGTCATCAGGAGGAAAAAAGAACCGTCTTCGTGAACATAAGGCAGATCTGAAACACTGTAGGACCAATACCTCGGCCGTGGCTGATCATTGTTTTAATGCGGTGGGCTCACACGAAATTGATTTCTCCAAGACGAAGGTACTCGGCAAACCCACTGGCTATCAACAAAGATTCATTCATGAAGCCATCCATATATATAGACACAGACACAATTTCAACTGAGAAGATGGGTACAAACTGAGCAATCATTGGAAGGACGTTATTAACCAGTTTAAGTCATAACTGGCTGTGATGTTTCCATCCTACCTTCCGATGTTAGTAGTTATTTTCGACTCTCTGATTTTACATTAACAGGTTAAATATCTCACACTAACACAGCCACCTCCACGCCCTCGACGTGGAAGTCGCCCTCCGATCTTACATTAACATGCAAATTTCTCACTTTAACATCACTAGCCCCGCCCACTTCGTTTATGACCCTTGGGCTACACCCATTTAAACCCTTTAAAACAGCCTGCCTCAGCAACTTTCCCCCTCCTTTTTTGTCCCTCCTGATGACGATCGCTTGTGTTGCGATCGAAACGTCGTTATTTTTTGGTAATTTTTTCGTTCTACGTGACTTTTCCAAAAGACCCAAAGAATACTAAAAACAATGTTCATTCATTTACCTTTCGTAACCATATTTTAAAACAATGATAATTAATATTTACAAATAAATGAGGAGCGTATCAAGACATGGCCCTCTTTATAATGTCCCCCTGGCCCTTTCAAGGTGATATAAAGAAACTGACGTATGCCCTCCAATATATAGTGCTGGCCCTGATGGTGCTCCCACAGAATTAAGTATTTTCTCCATGTAGTCTCATAATGTATACAACATTGATTCTGCGGAAGGCATCAAAGTCTAAAAAAATAGCCACATCGCATTCTTTACAACTATGCAGCCACAAAATATCGTGCTTGATTGAGATGAGGATAAAACTAAGGAGTCTTGGATTTCATGCTGAGCAGGCTCTGTCAGAAAAAGCAAGTAATTCATGTATTTCAAAGAATGCTGTAGAGGTGGATTTATGGGTGAATAAATATCTAGATTTGAAGCTTTCGTGACTGCAATGATTCATACTCTTTGGTTTTATTCGGTAAAGTCACGTAGGTAAAATAAAATAAAATCAAAGAAAACAATTAAATCACGACGTTTCGGAGGAAACACAAGCTTCCGTCTTCAGGTGGAACAGTCACAGCAGAAAATGTGTGTTAAGTACACAGCTCTGAGACGATCGGGATTGTATACAGGTTAAGGGGGGGGGGGGGGGGAGGAGTCAGAAAGGGGCGTGGGTGGGTGGAAGGGCTGAGTCAAGCCGCCTTTTGTTAAGCTGCAGGGGGGTCGGGAAGAGGCTGTGGTGCCAACAAATGCGGGTAAAACCCCTTTTTGTTGTGCTGACAGGGGGGTTGGGGGGGGCAGGCGATGGCGGGCGAGTAAGCCCCATTTTTTAAAACGAAAAGATCTAAAGTTTGATATACCACCACTAAAAATTGCTGTACAATTAAAAGGCAGCTAACGTTTGACTTGATTTATAACATCTTTCCAATGAATTTTGATTTAAAGCTTTCGTGACTGCAGTAATTCATATTCTTAGTTTTTTCAACGTGACTTTACCGAAAAAACTAAGAATATCTTTCCAATGGTTGCTTAATTTGAAACCATCCTCTCGGTTGAAGTTGGAGGATGGATGTATGCTATATGAGTGAATAAATGACTGCTTGCTTAATGTAACGGAGGATTTGATAATTAAATGAATGGATTTGTAGCTATGTAAAAGAAAGAATGAACGGATGGCTGCGTGGAAGGACGATTATAAAGCTGCATTAGTGCACAGGGCAGATGTACGAACTGCAGGAGGGCTGCACAAGTGGCTATGTGAATGCTAAAATATAACTTACACTCCAGCTTGTCTTCAGGTCGGCTGCCCTCAAGCAGCGAGAGGTAGCACACAATATCCTTGAGGTGCACAGCCTGTGTCTGGCTCACATCCCCCAGAGATGCAGACTTTACAAGACTCGGTCCACCGACCCCACCGCCTTTCTGGCCAAGCCTCTTCTCACCGGCCTTGCCACTGTCTACAAAAGAAGGGTAATAGGAGAGGTGAGCCTCAATCCACAATTAAACACAGCCTGCCATGTAACACAGCACTTCACTCATACAATGCATCATATTCATCCTTAATATAAAACTCATGGCTGAGGTTAAAGGGTATAAAAAAGGACGATAAAAATAACAGGCGATATTACATTTCTGTCTTTAAAGAATATTCATAATGAGGGATTGAAATTGTTATGAGATTACATTTTGGTACACATCATGATTTAGATTGCTTTTATCGTATTACCCAAATCCAATGCATTATCTAAAGTGCACACAAGCTCACATGAAAGCTATGGCTACAATGTTATCTGCGTCGGCTATTAAGACACTTAAGTGGAGAAAAATGTTTGCAAAGGCCACGGTTTTACAGCCAAATGGACATGGTCAAATTTGCAAACATGTCTCTCATAATTGCCCCCCGCCCCCACCCCCTAATGCTGTATCACAGCTGTCTCACTATAGCTTAATGTCTCCATACGCCAGTGAAGTCTATTTATGGAATATACAGCACAATTCCTGACGTAACAACTATTGATTAGGTAAAGGTGCAGCCTGGCAAATTCTTGCTCATGCCAATGCTGGCAGAAAGAGCCTCCACTAGAGGGAGCTGTAGAGAGCTCATCTGTTGGGTAATATGGCCTCTTATTCCACACCAGCTGCTAAATGTACAAGCAAAACATGAACAAGAGCAGTCGATTTTGGAAAAGGTTGCAAGTTCAAATCCTGGCTGGGAGTCGACTCTGCCCAGAATCCCCCTGGGGTTAATGATATGAGTACCACTTTGTGGGGAAGGCAATGGCAGTTGTCCTTAAGAGAGATGTGCTCCTATCATAGGAATGAGGAATTCCCACCACCGGTTCAGAGTTGTTAATAGGAGATGAGCACCACATTCATACTCACTTGAGCAGGAAGTCACTTTTAACCAGAGGAGAATACTTTGAAGATGTTTTGAACCCATGCCTCAGACCACTGGTGATCCAGGGCAGCTGCATTGCAAGGCGTGCCCACGTTATCATCAGCGTCGCAGACTCACAATGAGGCAAGGCACACGTGAAATAAATCACGGCTCACTCGACGCACATTGATCCCTCTTATCACTCGCCCGGAACATGCTTTAATCCGACCAGTTTCCGAAAATTCATTTTTATATTAATAAAACATTTCGTCAAGTTAAAAGCTTAGCAGTGGCCTCCATGTGCTCATTCTGATTCAGTAACACATACATAAGTGCCGAACCGTGTACGGTATTTATATTGCCGTGAATTGCCCTGAAGCATTATCAGACCATGCTAAAATTGAACTGTCAGATTTGTGCAAACTGCTTCAATGGCAGGTGTGGCAAACAGCTAGTTATCCATCCTAATAATTACATAAGTTATAATTTCCATCAGCAGTATATAGGTCCCCTCACAATATTTACAATCTTCAGTGGGTATTTTTTATGATTGAGGCTGCTTTCCCAGACAGTGATACAGAATGGTTGTATCAAGTACATCTAAATTTCGATTTGAAGCTTTCGTGACTGCAAGGATTCATCTTCTTTGGTTCTTTCGGTAAAGTCACGTAGAATGAGAATAAATAATGAATTGATAAAATAAAATAACACAATAATATTCTCACGACGTTTCGGCCACAACACAAGCGGCCTTCATCAGGTGAAGGGACGAGACTGTCTGGAGGACAGCGCTGGAGTGAAAAGCGCTGGAGTGAAAAGCGCTGTCCTCCAGACAGTCTCGTCCCTTCACCTGATGAAGGCCGCTTGTGTTGTGGCCGAAACGTCGTGAGAATATTATTGTGTTATTTTATTTTATCAATTTATTATTTTATTCTCATTCTACGTGACTTTACCGAAAGAACCAAAGAACATGTACATCTATTTTGTTGGTATTTTTGTTGACCACGGCGATATTAATTATAGTTTTTGCCATCCCTTTTAAAAACCTGGCCTCTGGCTGAGATTAATTGCCTTCACATGTGATCAGTGCTATGTAGGCACATGCGTGTTCTTGAAAGAATAAGCTCTTCACTGGCAATGCTATCGCAATAATACTAGTGTTAAGTCAGAGGGGTGTTGGTGTGTTTTAGCCTCTGGTCTGTAAGAATAATTGAACAGCAATGAGGCACAACATAAATAAGCAATGGCTACTGCTACGTTGGAAGGTTTCAATTGTTTTTATCTTTCGATTTAAAGCTTTAGTGACTGCAAGGATTCATCTTCTTTGGTTCTTTCGGTAAGGTCACGTAGAATGAGAATAAAATAATAAAATAACAATAAAATTATCACGTTGTTTCGGCCACAAAGCAACGGCCGCTTGCGTTGTGGCCGAAACGTCGTGAGAATTTTATTGTGTTATTTTATTATTTTATTCTCACTCTACGTGACCTTACCGAAAGAACCAAAGAAGATGTTTTTATCTTCTTCCAGATGACTGAATGTTACAACAATACAATGGTCGCCTGTGAGAATAATGTAACCATTTAATTGCATTATTTTCGGCCGCAATAACAATCAATGATTATAATCATAGACCTCAAATATGAATGTGAATTATGAAGTTGCTTTTGTTTTCTTGAAGTAATACCGTATTTTCATTTCAGCGTCATCAAAAAAATAAAATACAAGATGTTAGTTACTCATTGTAAACTGCAAAGCTGTGTTTGACTCAAGTAAGCGTGCAATAATATTAGACGAATATATTTATCAGTGCCATACCTACACCTCACTAAAATTGAGCCGGGATATGAACATGGATAATCACAACTAGAATTGCACGTAAGGTGTGTTTAGTTAACTGAGATATTGTCCAAATTATGAATTGTTTCCACAAACTGTATTACTACAGTGTACTTGTACGATGCAGCTCAGAAGTGAAAGGTGTTTCAACTGCACGGGTGTCCAGTGAGTCAACTCCAGTCCTCGCAGCCCCATCCATGGTACAGCTGCACAGCTTTCCGTAATTACCAACCATCAGATACATGTGATGTGAAAATGCTTCATGTGCATACAAATAGGAAATATCGGCAATTACGTAAAAGGCAGAGTGTGGAGGGGTCATGAGGAGTGGAGTTTCGAAACACTGACCAACTGCATCTTCTCAGGGAACTGAACCAGACAAGACACTTGAGTTTTCTGTTTTTGAGCTCAATACACATATATGCAGAATGGAAAGAGTGTCCACTCAATCGGCAATATTTGGTTTAGCCAATTTGATTATTTAAGCCCATTCAGTCACTGACTAACACAGAAAATCTTTGTAAAGTTTATATTTGCTTTGAATTACATCCTATTTGGCTTTGCCAGTTTAAATAAAGTGACAACATTGTATTAGAGGAGATCAATTATTATTTAAAGTGATGTACCTGCTGAGTTGAAAATTAAAATACAAGTTCTGGTACAAATGTAAGAGTTGAAAGAGTTATCTGATCCCAAATGAAAAGTAACATTTCGAGATAAGAATCTGGAAGGCGATAATATGAGTACTGCCCTGCATTTGGTTACCCAATACATATAATTCACAATACAATGACTTTGGAGAAAACAACCCTGAAATATGATGAAATTACACAAGCAGGAATGCACGCTTTTCCTGTGTCTGTAAGGTACGCTAAAAATTATTGAGACAATGTAATGAAAACAAACTTGTTGCATAAATCATTGTCTAATACCTGTTGACAGTGTTCCATAAAATAACCAAACTGACAATTGTGCTGTGAACACATCAGCTTAATTGGCATTTGTGCAAAGGAAAACCACGACTATTCGCACAGATGTGTTTGTGCGCAAAAGTGCATTAGTGTCACGTTGCATGTCTGCTTAAACAGACAATGGTGCGATAGTGGTTTGCGCACTCCAAACACGGTGACACGAGGTGTTTTCCTGGTAACAATTTTACTGATATATTTTTGATCATTAAACATTTTCAATGGGTTTTTTTTTATTGTCAAGCACTGTTTTATGTGGTTAAAACAGCAGAACTCAAAACGCAAACATTATAAAAAATCTTCTTTGGTTCTTTCGGTAAAGTCACGTAGAATGAGGTCTGTTCCTTTCACCTGAAGGAGGCCACTTGTGTTGTGGCCAAAACGTCGTGAGAATTTTATTGTGTTATTTTATTTTATTAATTTATTATTTTATTCTCATTCTACGTGACTTTACCGAAAGAACCAAAGAAGATGAATCCTTGCAGTCACGAAAGCTTTAAATCGAAAATTATAAAAAATGTAGACATACGATATTTACCCTGCATTTAACTAAATCAGGTACTTTGTATCGAATCTGAAATGTTTCATGGGGGTTATTGTAACCCCAAATAAACTCACTTATGTACCCTGTAATACCAGCCATAAGGGTGCAGAGTTGACAGATCATAAGTGAATGAAAGCATGCGCGTGTGTGCTGGCAGGTACCGGTCTCGATGATCTGTGAAGTGCTTGTACACTGCGACTGGCCCAGGGGAGCCGGGTGCCTGTCCGTGCGTGTAAATGACATGAAGAGATGTCGGCACAGCTCTTCTGGGACCTCTGCCTCTAGGTATGTCTTCATGAACAGCTTGAATCCCTCAAAGTCAATTGGCTGGACAAATGAAATTGTTAAAATGATTATCACAGACATTCATACGAGGACAAAGGGCATAGAATATGCAGACACTTTTTCCAAATATATTTTTAGCACCATAAAGTGGTGTTGTTACACTTTTTTAACAAAAATACAGTGGAATTATTTAAATAATGTGAATTTTACATCAAATATGGTAATTTCCATTGAACGCATTTCTGGCTTTTACTAAACCTGCTTATTTCCCAACAAACATGTAATGTTGTTTTATGGCCGCTTTAACTGTTTTAATAGCTATTCAGCATGTATTCAAAGAGTTAAAAGTACGATAAAATACAAACAAGGATCATCTCGGCGTGACCGGCTGTAATTTTTTTAATGTCACATTGAATTTCCCACAGATCACCCTTCACAAACAGATGAGGCTGCCTCAATAGACCCTTGCCTCATTAAAATGAGCATGGTTCAAACTTCGATATTTCGAGAGTTTTAGCAAATTATCAACATGTGCAAATGTGCTGAGGCAGTTGCCAAACACCGTTGTAGTTGTAAAGGGAGTACAGTATTCTCTACTCACCCACCGAAAATATTAACAAGCAGTCAATATCCAATCAAGCTAACGCCTGGTTTGACTTTCCATACACCCTTTCAGTATTACAGAAGCGTTATTGACCTTCATGACACAACAATGTAAAACTGAGTGTGATATTGTGCCACGTGTTGTATTGCTTATAAGGACATTTCGATATGGCAGGTGGATGCAGGAGACAGCAGAGTAGACCGAATTCATATTCTTTGGGTCTTTCGGTAAAGTCACGTAGATAGGTTCAAAGAAAATAACAAAAATAACAAAAGAAACTACGACGTTTCGATCACAACGCAAGCGATCGTCATCAGGAGGAAAAAAAAACGTCGTCGTTTTTTTGTTATTTTATTGTTATTTTCTTTCAACCTATCTACGTGACTTTACCGAAAGACCCAAAGAATATGAATTTCTGCAGTCACGAAAGCTTTAAGTAAAGATTTAGACAGAATGCTGACCCATCTTTATAAGTTTCCGACTGCTGCTGAACCACCCACATGTGTGTGGGTGTTTTCGCAATGCAACAATCAGCAAAGGAGAAATGATGAATAAAAAGTGTTGACACTGCTCCACACTGCCGTCAGTACAGAAAAAAACGATTTCTAAATGCTACACAATAGTCACGACACAGAGCACACTTGCACATGTATGTCACTTTTCTGGCACCTCCCTTATGTTTGCACTGCCCTCTTTGATTTGCGTGTGTTCATGGCTCAGTTCGACTAAAATGTAGAGCTTACCTGCACCTGTACCTAACATTTTTAAGATTACATTTGCACTGTTTTTTTTTATTCGTGTGTTTCATTTAAACAACTGTTAAATACGTAAACAAAAATGTTACGTGTGCAATATTCCTTAAGCACCGTGTGCTCGTTCTGTGCAATGTTGATGGCTTTGTTTTGTGGTTGCTGTGCTCACGCACATCCGTGTACCAAATAAAATAAACTTAATTCTCAGTTAAGCTCTCTGGATAAATACGGTACACACCAGCATTTAAACACCACGAAGGTAAAAAAAAACTAATATACATACAATCAGATATACACTGAGGAGAGCTTCATGAAGCTTCATCTATTAAAAATAGATAAAATTTTATCAAAATACATTGGACAAAGGTACAGCCCTGAAACTGCTTGTTCATGCCACTGCTGGCCAAGTAACCGCACTTTTTTCATGTCTCTTGCTCTTTGCCCCCTGTACCGTTCCAATTCTGCTGTAATGTGTACTGATGCCTACTTTATTGAGTGCGATATTGGCACATAAAATAAGCATTGATTGAGTGACTTTACTCCACCACATACAACTTGCCAATCGACGAACTGCGGGTGCACTCATTTATATTTTTGAAGGGGAAGGGTAGAATTTTTGAAACTGCGTAAAGGAATCTTAGAAAGTTGCACCATTTTCTAATCTGCCTCAACCGGAAGATTAACCAAACACTGGCAACCTCTGGATTGCAAGTCCAGTATGCTCACCAGTACACCATGACAGGGTCCCATAAATAGACTGAGTCCAAAATAGACTGACAATGCAAAGAATTTTCCAGTCTGCAAGAGTATCAGAGGAGAAAGAGAAACGCTACATTCTACAACAAAAAAACATGATATTGATTAGGAAAAGGCAATACCGTAGAACTGAACCAGTGGGAGCGGGGAGAGGCAGATGAGGAAGGAGATGTAGTGATGGAGATGAACATGAGAACAACAGAAGTATGCAGGAGAGGGAGTCATGGATTTTGAAGCGAATGAGAGAGATTCTGTTGTTTTTTAGCTAATGCTCTGGTGAGTAGGAAGACGGTGAGTGATTTAATGAGATCTCTTTTACATTATGAAACCTCCTTTGCCAGTAACAAGATATAGTAATAGGTTTAACCCTTTTAACTGGCACAAAAACTGACACCTTTATTCAAGGCATCATGTTTGCAATAACCACAACACAAGCAGTCAAAATGCAAACAAAAGAGACAACTCTGATAATAATATGCACTGTCCTTGAATTTGATTGGTCCACACCCGAGACGGCTTTTCTTAGAGCCTAGTCTCCACTGGTGTTGGACCAGATGACGCCAAAAGGTGGTCCAACACCAGTGGAGACTAGGCTCTAAGAAAAGCCGTCTCGGGTGTGGACCAATCAAATTCAAGGACAGTGCATATTATTATCAGAGTTGTCTCTTTTGTTTGCATTTTGACTGCTTTTGTTGTGGTTATTGCAAACATGATGCCTTGAATAAAGGTGTCAGTTTTTTGTGCCAGTTAAAAGGGTAAAACCTATTACTATAACGAGATCTCTTTTGTTTAAGCAACCATGAAAGAGCATTTTTACAGGATTTTAACCCAAGTTAAAAGATGGATATGTAACGCTCACGGACAACAGCGTTGTGGTAATTATTGGAAACAAATTACATTGTTGTAGAACAATGTAATATAAAAGTGTGTTTAAATGATCACGACTCATACATTCGCGTATTAGAGATTTAGCAAATATAAAAAATGCGGGACATGCTAAGGCAGAGCATGAAAGCACTTACCATTTGTTTAAGTGCTATTCACAGTATCTAGGGAATCACATGGCCGTGCACAGTTCCAAATGAAGACACCATCCTATAGGTGTTCTACAAACAAGTTATCAATACACTTTTTACCAGCTTCCCAGTGACGCGTGATAAAGGTGCTAACTTAGTTCGACCAGACACCATTATCACTTCTATCTCTCGCCCCGTATGCAGTAAACAAGCTAAAGGTGCAGCCCTGCAATTTCTTTCTCGTACCCCTGCCGGCGTAAGGGTCTTCATTACAGGGGATTCTAAAGGGCACCCACGAGAGAGTATATTGGCCTACGTCTTGGAAGAAGATGTGATTACCCCCACACACACAGACTTTTCTCCCAGCCGCACGCAAACCTATTATTACTGCCGGGCGGAATTAAGAAACGTGTCCATTGTTTCAACTGCCGAGAGATTGAACAGGCGACCTTTGGATTTAAAGTCCAGTGTCCTCACCAGTACACCATGGCAACATATGTTGCATGCAGTAAATGTCCGTGGAGTAAAATCAACATATTTCCTTAAAATTGAACATCTCCAATATGAGTATGGGCAATGCCATTGTTTTCATGTTTGAGCTCTTTATTTGGAAGGTTGACTTATAGAATTATGATGCTTGGCAATATATAGCCCTTGTGTCGAATGTGATGGAAGATGATTTATAACAAGACAGTTTTTCAATGATAGCACTGAGTTGTGTTTATTGGCTCAGGACTGTACACACTCAATCCTTCATTGGGCATCGCAGGGGGTGCTTTTTGGGTACAATCTGTGCAAGCGGTAAGCTATGTACACTTAACAGCAATCCATAAAAGGCTTTCATAAAGAAACCCTCACTCTATTATAGGCTTAAAATAACCTAAAAATGGCAGTGAGTCATCAGTGTGAAAGGATCATAAGGACAGAGCGAATTTTGTGTGGTTTCGTCATTTCTGAAAGGACTATATTATCACACAGGACCATAACTGGAGTGTGACTCTCATATGGAAAGTGCGAATAAGCAAGGCCCTGTTTTCAAACACTTGACGACGTATTGTGCACACAGGGGGCTAGCAGACACCGTGCCCAGCTGCCTTCACTCCAGTGGCAGGGTTAACGCAACTGGTGCTTGTGGCGTGCGGCTTCGACGTGAAGAAGGCGTACAGAAGAAGCACATTTTAACTGCTACTCGTGGTCGTGCCTCACAATAGCAAAACCTGACCTTTAAGGCCATTATTCATGACAGGCACATCCACCCGAGTGTTCATCTAAATATGTGAGGTGCTTTCATATATGCACACCTGGTTGAACATGTGTAAATGTGTAAACGTAGATTGGCAAATCAATATCCACACTTGTACAGCAATGCATTAATATACATTTCTAAACACTGGAAAATTACATCTAAACAAACTGTATAATTATATAGATGAAAATATACCTCCTGCCAGAATTGCTATCGCCCACATTAGGGCAATGCAGGTGTGAGCATGACTCCATGGATATATGTGTATGAATAATATCCCTAGATTGGGTGTACATATAGTGGTGTTTGCGTTTCTGTAAAATGAATAAATTGCAGTTGCCTTGTTACGTGCATGCCTGGTGTATTCATTGAAAAGAAAAGGCGATTGTGATTGCGTATTCTAACATTTTCATTCATCTATACAAATATTGTAACTTACTTCACATGTTAAATACTTAACCAATAAAATATTGTAAAAGTGTCATCATCATCATCCACTCTATATTCTATACTGATGGATGAAGACCTCCTCACATTATGTAGGTCATGTTGGAGCAATACTGGATGGATGCCCCTCTCCAGTATAGCTCCTCGGGCCTCCAAGGCCCACAAAATATTTTGGCCACATGAAGAAAGTGTCCCATTGAAGACGTGGAAAAAAGTATTTGTCTTCGAATTTATAAAGCATACATCGCACAGCAACTCTACAAAACACTTGGGAAATGTTTTCTTTAATTGTGGTAATTTGTGCAAGCAGCTGATGATAACCTTAGGCCACGAAGCATTATTGTACACAATGTCCTATTTGTTATAATATTTTGTCAATGTCGAGATTTACAGTTAACTATATGACCATCCGTGAACAATAGTGTCAGGTGGATATCTTTCCAGGCCATTTAAGTAACATTTATATTTATGATTATACCTTCTGTGCATTCTATCAAATTTTGCAAAGAGTGTAATTTCCCCTAAAATAATGTTCATATAAATTAATATATATTGCATGTAGACATTGTCACGTTAATACAACAGAATATGAAAGTGTACATCTCACGCACGGGAAATAGCTCGCCGTGAGCTCATACTTATTGGCAGGGTATGATTTGATGTTCTAAGTGTGCACACATTTACCAGTAGAAATTAATATAGCCACATGTATCAAATACGAGGCACATCTGTAGCTCATTGTGTTAGCCATTCAGTTGATATTAATGGGAGACCATCATTACTGTGTAGGAGGTCCTTTGAGGGCAAGGCTCAATATTTCCAGCAGGCTTCATTTGTGAATGGGGATTTTTCATGATAGGGGGCTTGGAAGGCGGCTGGGGGGGGGCAATGGGTGCATTCAGTGGTGTGTTCAATATTCAGTGAGATATACCAGGATAGGAAACTGGAATAAGAGCTTATATAGTTGTAGACAGAGAAAAGGCCAAATGTCAATCCATGAGATATAAAAGTATACGTCAAGCCATAAGGCTTGAATCCAATGAGGCCAGCCCTGCATGTCATGCTGGATACACACCACTGTGCAAAAACAATGCATTGTTTTATGATTTTGTATTAGTAAATAGTAAACAGATTTTGTACACTATGTTGAACCCCACCAACGATATTTCATGCAGCTGTGGTCCTAAGAATAGATGCCCCCAGCATTCTAAAGCAGGCTTCCACAATTGCAATATATGCACAACCAGCTGAACACGACCTAGCTTCCAGGTAAGACCACTCTGTGGAAGGCTACACTTTTTATGGAGGCAGCAGATTGCAATAACTCTATCATCAAAGCATGTTATATGCTGTAAATGTTATTTGATGTAAATTGGATGGGATAAATATAGTTTGTGAGCCATTTGAAAGTGGTAGGCCTCATGTGGCTGTGGGCCATATGAAACAAAGTGATATGGGTCATCTATGGCCTACGGGTGCCAAAAGGTCCCCTCTCCTACTTGGGAAAATGCTATGATGTCAGACGTGTCATCAGAGCTACGGCCTTATCGCAAATGTTATCCTTTTGTATTTTTTTAGAATGTCATCACTTGTCTTGAACTATTTATAGGTTTTGTCAAAAGCTAAGAATTATGGTAAAGTAGGCAGCTTTGTTTATGTTATTACTCAATGCCATTACTGTTGAGGCTAATTTATGGACTGTAAAAGCTCCTCCTCAATGAAATGCATTCCATGGTGAACTTTAAATGCAAGCCTCCACATGCCCCACCCTGCATGTAATTAAGCCTTGCTTATGCATCCGATGCTCCACACCATCACTCATTGCAAATAAGGAATGACATGTCCAGAGGTGTTATCATGGAATATTGAATCCAACTAAACACAGCTAGAAGAAGTGAATACTAACAATGCATCTTAAATGTCATAAAATTGACAAAAATACTGTTTAGTACGAGAAGGAGGCGACTAATTCCATTGTCAGGACATTGATCCAGTCCTACTAAGGTCTTGGATACGAGCCACAAGTGGCTACTTGAGATGAAAGATAAAGGTTCAAAGATGTGAAATTTGTTTAGTCTCAGTTCAGTCACCAACAGGTGGAGAAACAGGCAAAGAAGTGCGCCATTGAACCTCTTGTTTATCCCCATTGTGAAAGCTCACACATCTAAAATTATTACTCACGCACATGGTGAAAGAGCACAGTCAGCTGGCAGGAAGGACCAATTATAAGACACTGATTAAGGCTGATGATTTCACTTCCGGGTCATGTACTAGTTCTATACCTGGTTACACATTCTGCAGAGGGCATCTAAATTTAAAACGCTTTGCCCTGTAATTATACATGAGCGATTGATCATTTGGATTGAGTAACTAAAGAAGGCAAAGGAAACACATTTGAAATCTAACATTTAAAAAAACGTTCTCTGAAAAAACATAGATACCATGGATTTAGTTTAGCTTCGCCAAGAATAAAATCCGATTCTAAATTACAGAGTTGTTGCTTCCTTCTCAATAGAAGAAAAAAGGATGACTCAATGACAACAGAGAAGCAAATTTATGCCTGTGCTTTTCACTGCGTGCATGCAATGGTTGGTTTCATGCCAAATTTGAAAACATTAGCATAGTGTTCTAAAAGGGAGAAAAATGGTCTCTTGCTGAACAAGCTGTGTGAATAACAAATGTAACCACAGGAGTAATTATATTAAAATAAAACATATGCTCCAGTGTTTTGAAGGGAAGGTGTATTGTTCTATATGTTCAATTATAAAATCCTATTTTGCAATGAGCAACATTTTCTACGACCTCTTAATAAGTATTTGTCTGCATGCAGGTATCGAAAAATGATGTGCTCTAACTGCTGCAAATTACATTTAACTCGAATGGAATTGCATGATTATTCACTATGTAATGCTCTGAACTTCAAACCTCATGCTGCCTGCTTTTGAACTAAACGCACATATTGTAATGTTTTTTTTAAATGTTGTACTTAATGTATATATAAAATTGTATACATACTTTTATTTAAGCACAAGTGTAAAAAAAGAAACATTTCCTCTGCGAGGCTTTGTCTTTTTTCATCACATTTATTATTAAACAGCAGTTGCAATTCATGTACGGGGAATAATTTTCCATCACGGCGATAATAGGCTACATGGACACAAATGTATTTTCCTCAATCATGAAGTTCGGTGCAAAAGCACGACCTAATCAAAAGGATGCATCTTCGCTCATTTCAAGGTAGCAGCAGTAAACAACATGCATCATGGCAGATACAGTGCTATTACACGGATGATTGAGTGAGCATTACATTGCCTGGAACACCCATGCAGTGCTCTATAGCTCTAACCATCATAATTTTAAGTCTGCATAAGCAACTTACCATAAAATACAATATTTGTCCTATGTGACTGCTGAAAGTGCAGGTTTATGCAGAATCGAAACGTCAAAATTCATAGAATATTTTTTTTATATATCCAACTGGAATTGCAACAAGATATTTAGAAGTGAGGATAACCACAAAAACCAAGCCATGGTCAATTTATATCGAGATCAGACATTGGCACCGGCTGGCTAATCTCATCTCAGTTTTCCCTGAAAAAGCACGTAGGCGGTAATCGCAATTGCAATGAGCACGGTTCAACCAAAATAATGACCCGCGGAGAGATTACCTGCTCGGGGTCATACTTGGAAAGGATTCCACCCTCCCGGAACTCCCCAAGGACATCCTTCACTTTCTTGTTGGTATCTGTGGGAGACAACAGAAGACACTCAGCAACACACCGGTTGACACAGAGGCTATCTACGTCCTTTTTGAAGCAAAGCAGACGAAAAAGGTAATAATTCTCTCAGTCAGTTTGTTGCTTCTTTGGTCACATTGAAGGGGCACCCCTCAAATCCTTGCTGGAAATTTTGTAAAAAAAAAAAGATTAAAAGCACCTGGCCTTTGTACAATGTGAAGGTCTTGAGGGAATTCTGGATGCTGACCATATTTGTAAGGAGTTATAACTACACTCCTTGATATTACTGCACACCCTCCTATTATGCATTACATTCACACACACAACAACAACACTCAGGCGTATTATTTTTACGCCTCGAGGAATAAAAACCTTGTGGCACACAAGTGCATGCTAAAGTGGAATGTAAGCTACTTTCACCTTGAGAATGTAAAATCAATGTTATGTGACCAGAGATCACAAAGGTGAAACTACAGCTCAGGTCTGACAAAGAGATATTGTATCGTAATGTGTTCTCAGCGGGATTTATGAAAAATATTTCATTGATTGTGTAGCATGGACTTCTGAGACCCACTTTAAACTGAAAATGCCAATTGTTTTCCCTTGTCATTTGAAGAATATTTTTTCTTGGTGGAACAGTTTGAATGAAAATAATGAACATAATGAACATGCATATTCTTAGCTGGAAAATAAGTATATTTATATATATTTTATTATTTTATTGTTTCTCTTCAACGTGACTTTACCGAAAGAGCTAAGAATATGAATTACTGCAGTCACGAAATCTTTAAATAAAAAAATGAACATGCAGCCTAAATATTAAACAATGTACACAGTATTTGGCATTATTAATCAATTACAGAATTTATGTGTGCCTTGTCTCACAAAAGGCATGTGAATACAGGAAACTATGTCGGCATTGGCAGTTTGAATGTTTAATGAAAACACCACGTGACTTATGCAACATCAATTCTGGTTCATGTCCCCAAATTCTGAAATGCCTGGTTAAACATGTGATTCATATTTAATTTTAAATCGACCAGTAGAAGAAAACATGTATTTTACAAAAAATATAAAAGATGGATAAAACTTGGCTTAATTTTGTTATTCACTTGACAATAAGCAATGGCTAAAAACATGACACTAAAGTAAAGACCATTAGGTGTAAGCAACACAATCACGAATGAGTGTTTCAAAGTTATGGTTCATAGACCAAAACATTATTCCAATTATCCAATTCGTTTGTATGCCATATTGTATTCTGTTAATGTAAAAAATACAATCCTTTAAACAGTTGGTGGCTGGGAATTTGAATACAGTATATGCATGTCTATAGCCATTGCGCTGATAATACACACTGAACAGCCCATTAGAGTGCATGTTTACTTCTGTCAATGACTATGCAAAGGCAATATTGAGTAGAAGCATCATAATTAAATGAGAACAATGGGTGATTGGGGCATTTACTTGTTTTGCCTGCCATAGAAATCGATATCAAAACCCAGTTAATCTGTTTGCATACCATATATTGGCAAGATTAAAATCATAAATACAGTGAGGGGAAAAAGTATTTGATCCCCTGCTGATTTGTACGTTTGCCCACTGACAAAGAAATGATCAGTCTATAATTTTAATGGTAGGTTTATTTGAACAGTGAGAGATGGAATAACAAAAAAATCCAGAAAAACGCATGTCAAAAATGTTATGAATTGATTTGCATTTTAATGAGGGAAATAAGCATTTGACTCGTCTGCAAAACATGACTTAGTACTTGGTGGCAAAACCCTTGTTGGCAATCACAGAGGTAAAACGTTTCTTGTAGTTGGCCACCAGGTTTGCACACGTCTCAGGAGGGATTTTGTCCCACTCCTCTTTGCAGATCTTCTCCAAGTCATTAAGGGTTCGAGGCTGACGTTTGGCAACTCGAACCTTCAGCTCCCTCCACAGATTTTCTATGGGATTAAGGTCTGGAGACTGGCTAGGCCACTCCAGGACCTTAATGTGCTTCTTCTTGAGCCACTCCTTTGTTGCCTTGGCCGTGTGTTTTGGGTCATTGTCATACTGGAATACCCATCCACGACCCATTTTCAATGCCCTGGCTGAGGGAAGAAGGTTCTCACCCAAGATTTGACGGTACATGGCCCCGTCCATCGTCCCTTTGATGCAGTGAAGTTGTCCTGTCCCCTTAGCAGAAAAACACCCCCAAAGCATAATGTTTGCACCTCCATGTTTGACGGTGGGGATGGTGTTCTTGGGGTCATAGGCAGCATTTCTCCTCCTCCAAACACGGCGAGTTGAGTTGATGCCAAAGAGCTCCATTTTGGTCTCATCTAACCACAACACTTTCACCCAGTTGTCCTCTGTTTCATTCAGATGTTAATTGGCAAACTTCAGACGGGCATGTATATGTGCTTTCTTGAGCAGGGGGACCTTGCGGGCACTGCAGGATTTGAGTCCTTCACGGCGTAGTGTGTTTTATTGGTGACTATGGTCCCAGCTGCCTTGAGACCATTGACAAGATCCTCCCGTGTTGTTCTGGGCTGATTCCTCGCCGTTCTCATGATCATTGCAACTCCACGAGGTGAGATCTTGCATGGAGCCCCAGGCCGAGGGAGATTGACAGTTATTTTGTGTTTCTTCCATTTGCAAATAATGGCACCAACTGTTGTCACCTTCTCACCAAGCCACTTGGCAATGGTCTTGTGGCCCATTCCAGCCTTGTGTTGGTCTACAATCTTGTCCCTGACATCCTTGGAGAGCTTTTTGGTCTTGGCCATGGTGGAGAGTTTGGAATCTGATTGATTGCTTCTGTGGACAGGTGCCTTTTATACAGGTAGCAAGCTGAGATTAGGAGCACTCCCTTTACAAGTGTGCTCCTAATCTCAGCTCGTTACCTGTATAAAGACACCTGGGAGCCAGAAATCTTTCTGATTGAGAGGGGGTCAAATACTTATTTCCCTCATTAAAATGCAAATCAATTGATAGCATTTTTGACATGCGTTTTTCTGGATTTTTTGTTGTTATTCTGCCTCTCACTGTTCAAATAAACCTACTATTAAAATTATAGACTGATCATTTCTTTGTCAGTGGGCAAACGTACAAAATCAGCAGGGGATCAAATACTTTTTTCCCTCACTATACATCAATATTGGAAACATGCCAGTGGTGTCATATATTAAGAACATTTCTACGAGGAAAACTAATTCCAATTGTTTACAAACAAGCAACATCATTATTTTGTAATTTAAACATATTATGAAATGCAGTTAGATTCCACTATATATATACAAGTTTGGGGATTGTGAGGTGGGGAAGGAAGTGTGGATGAACTCCCACTACACTCACAAATATCGTTACATCATTCACACCGCTAAAGTGAATGATACATTTTTGCTACAATTGACAAGCTTTTCAAGTTTCCTCCCAACTTTCATGTGACAATGCATTGCTGCAAGGACCATCTTGTACCTTCGGAAAGTGTACCCTTGTGAGAACACCAAAATCCACATGAGCAGAATAACGTTTTACACCTCTCCTCCCCCCCCCCCCCCATTGCACAGTTGTGACCCGTTTCACCACTGATGACGTGATAACCCAGTGGACATTCCGTTGCCTCCACTCTTCCACCAACCTGCCAATTCAGTCAGCCGTGTGGAACTAACCCATTGGGGGGACCCTCTTTAAAATTAAAAAGTGAAATGGCAGTAGAGAGATATTTTGAGACAAGAGAATAGAGATGCAGACAAGATAGAGAGTAATAATTTAGGTTTAATGTTAATCATCTTGCTATGTTTGTTAGGATTTAAATTTGAGCTGATATTTGATGCATTCCAATTTTTTACGACTGCGTAGCTCCTTGAGCAACTTGGGCCCTTATATGCTTGCTGAGGGTTGCCTGAGCCCTTAGCCCCTGCCTCTACTGGTACGTCCAACATTGGTCATAAAGCAATTTTTTTCTTTCCATGTACAGTGAAAGCTGATCATAAAAGATAACTTCTTATTCCTGGGTTTAATTCCCTTGTGGGTGCGCATAAATATCCCAAACACACTTTGTGCAGGATAAATAGGTCACTATATGTGAGTGGTAGAGCCAACATAACTATCCAAAAAAGGTAATTACTCACTCCATGAATAGAATAGCACTTTTCCAAGTAATGGTGGAGCGGATACAATAAAGGCAACTATGAGAAACAGTATGCAGAGTTTTAATAAAGAACACAATAACAGAACGCATTACAATTTTAATGGTTCCATAGAGGCGCACACACTGTTATAGGGAGTCAACAGTATTTATTAACACAACTTGTAATTACACTACACATAGGATGGTGACCACCGACCTATCCTCGCTAACACTGACACTCGGATAACAACTGGTGTGGCCAAGTCAGGAGGGCTACTGCTTGGCCACGTTGACTTGAGGCTTGGCTTCACTCTTCATGAGGCGTCTTCATCCCGAACCTGAGCATCCCCGCACCAGGTGCAGAGCCCCCTTATATGCGCCTGGGCGTGGGCCAGGCCACACCCAGGCCACGCCCACCTTCTCGAACCCTCGAGAAGGCTCTGCTCCTGGCCACGTGGCCCCCAAGGTCCCCATCGGCCCCCACCTTGATCCGGTCACGTGTCCGGCCGGGTTCGTACAGAGTGCCACGGCCTCACACAACCCCCGTGGCATTGACCGACAGCCTCCAGACTCCAGACTCCCCGACCCGGCCGTGACGTCATTCCCACATACACACGTGGTGATGTCATGTGTGTGTGTACAGACTCACACGGTTGTGACGTAACATGTCACTACACAATGATAGTTACACGTTTAGTAAAATCAAACTATCTAAACTGATTGCAATTGAAAAAAACTCTTAACATCCGATCCCAAAAGAATATATAAATACATTATGGTTTCATTCACCCCTGATCCTTATTAAGAGGTCAAAAGTGTGGCTAGTTACTGGTTCAGGGTACATGTATATACATGCCCCTTGTTGGGCTTGCATGGTGCTGTCTA